GAACAAAGCTGGATTTTTAGCATCATTACTCCAGTCTTCAGTGTCACATGATCCTTTAGAAATCATTCTGATATGCTGCTTAAGAAATATTTATGATTATTATCAATGCTTAAAACTCATAATTTTGTGTTGATGGATCTACTAGTGTGTGTGTGTGTGTGTGTGTGTGTGTGTGTGTGTGTGTGTGTGTGTGTGTGTGTGTGTGTGTGTGTGTGTGTGTGTGTTTCAGGCCAGCACTCTTCCACAGGGCACCATAAACCTGAATCAGTGTGTGGATGTTGTGGACGGTGAGAGCCGGACGGGTCAGAAACACTCGCTGTGCATCTGCACACCGGACAAAGACCATTACATACGTGCTGAGAGCAAAGAGATCATACATGGGTGAGTCACACACACAGATGAGGAATCATTCATTCAGATCTCACAGTTTATCATAAGATATGTTTACAACTCTCTGATGTTTATGTGCAGTTTAACACGATACTGTATTGATGTGATGAACTTCTGAGGGACAAAAATGTAAATTTAACATCCCACAATTAATTATGTTTTGAAAAAAAGCATCTTTTCCCTTTCATTTCTGCATGCACATTCTCGCTTTGAACTATTGGAGATTTTATTGTGACTTAGATGCATTTAATCATTACCATTTACTCATTTAGCAGACGCTTTTATCCAAAGTGACTTACAAATGTGGAATATCACAAGCAATTTGTCATTGAGCCATCAGTATCACTTGCTTGATGTAAGGACTTGCTATTTTGCTGCATAATGGATTAATTTATAAGGCTTACAGTTAAGAATATAACAGCAAAATATTAGTTAAATATGAGATGTCAAAACTAGCAAGAAACTAACACACAACAGTTTTTATTTTATTAACGTCATGATCCTAATTGAAAGGACAATTTGTGTTTATCTCCTTTGTTCATCCGGTAAAGCTTGATATGGGTTTGGTTTTAGACATAATAAGTGAATTAATGACTAATGTGATCACTCACTGATTGTAATTAGTGAAATACACTCATTACAGACTATATAATTAGATAAGCAATTACTAACTAATTGGTGTTTTGAAATAATTCCCAAGCATTTGTTTGTGTCTTAAGGTGGCAGGAGGCACTGATGGTGTTCCTACGAACCAACAAACAAAACCAGAAGAAGAAACGGAAAGTGGAAACACCAACGCCACAGGTACACGTATATACAGATCCACCAACTCGAGAGGTTTTAAAAGAACAATTTCACCCCCAGATTAATCATTTAGTCACTTAAAATCAGTTTAAAAGTTTCAGTTTTAGCTTTAACTAGCTTAACCAGCAAGCATTTTCATCCGTAAATCACTGGCTAATTTGTCCTGGTGAACTGTATGGTTTTGTTAGTCCTCCAGCTAAACCAGCACTAGACCAGAATTACTGTAAAAAGACAAGCGTTCCATCTATTAGAGTTTGGAATCAGCGTCCTTGTCTGAATGTAACTGATGTGTGTTTGAGTTTTGCCGTGCAAAGCATGAGATTTGTCTTTATTCTTGAACTACAATTACAAACTTACACACACACACACACACACACACACACACACACACACACACACACACACTTAAATGCAAAACCTCGCAAAGTATTGCATTTGGTGAATGACTGCAAAAAGAATTTACTCTGGAATCTGAAGGTGTTTCTTCATCTTCATGCACAGGTAGCTCAGAAAAACCCTTATTTCTAGTCCTTAGATAAGATGGTTTATTGGCTAGTGTTTTGTTCTACCAAGCAGGATTTTGTGACACAGGTCTGCTTGGAAAACCAGTACACAAATTAGGGGAAACGTTTATCCTATCAATTTCTCTATATACACTATATATATATATTAGGGATATGCCGGTATCAAATTTTCATGTTGCGATTAATTGCTAATGCTATTCAAAATTCTGAATAATTTGTAATATATAATTATTCACGGTATTTAGAAGTGCCCACGATAACAATATCGTGCATATTCATTACCGTAATATATCGCATTACCGAATACCGGCACAATAGTAATATATATAAAAAAATTTTTTAACTTTTTTTTTTTCTAGTTATATTATAGGTTTTGATTTAATTTTTTTCTAGAACAAACAAGCTTTTAACTCATATTTATATATAAATATATTTTATACTATTTTTGATTAATATATTTTATGACAATTTTATGTTCTTGAATATTTTTAAAATATAAATATGGCCAAGTTTGTATTATTTTTAGGGCTGGGCAAGTTAACGCATTATTATTATATTAACGCGACAATTATTTTATTGCGCATTAACAGTTTTTTTAAAATTATTATTATTATGAAAACCCGTTGCTCACTGGCTCTGAATTCACATACAGACAAACCATGGGTCACAGGAGGGGTGGGATGTTGATCAGTGCTGGCTTGGGATGGGTGTCATGACGCGTCTCAACCAATGAGAGCATTTGGGGAGGGCCTAAAACTGCAGGCCCAGCTGAACCGCACTCTGGCCCACCTCTTCCAACCGAGCCAGGGACGGCTAAACGAACCGCTCCCGAGTGGGGCACGGAGTGATCACACCAGTCAAACGAACCGGGCTTTGGGGGTCAAACGCGCTCGGGCACAGTTAAGTTAGCCTAGTTTGAGTACATCCTTATTCTCCCGCATCCCGCACACACGAGTCTCTACCTGCCCGCACCCGCACTCACCCATCAAGTGTTGTCCCGCGCCGCACTCTGTTGCATTGACATTTGACAAAAAACATTTATGATGTTCTTTGATATTTTTTGATAAATTTTTATTATTATTTTATTTTTTTTTACATATTTTTTCTCAGTCATTTTTTCTAACAATATTTTGTCTTTTTTTGGTTATTGTTTATTTTATTGCTCAGTCCTCTAATTAATACATTAATGAAGTGTTTTAAACGGATTGTGTTTGTATCGTTAGGATTGGTTTACTCTGCTCTGACCTCATGACCTGTGTTTTGTCAGGCTGCTGATCTGCTAACAGGTCGTTGTGCCGAACAGAACATCAATGGGTTTATTGTAAGTCCAGAACCAGTATGATCCAACCAGTCAGAGTGCAGCACAGGATCTGATCAATACATGAATTCCGGGTGTTTTTGGAGATCAACTGATTGGCAGGAATTTGAACCTCATCGTAATTTGTCCAGTAAATGATTCTCATGTGTGTGCTTCTGCTGGGATGCTGGGTGGCTCACGCAGGCATGTGTGTGTGTTTGGTTTCATGCAGAAAAATGTGCTGAGTGACTTTATGATTTAATCAAAAAGGTATTACTGGGCGGTCAGGTGGAAACAGGAAAGACACAGACTCTAATCTGCGAGTGTGTGTTTAGTGTGGGGTGTGGTGCTGAGAGTAAATCAGCGTGTGTATGAAATCATGGCACAATAGCTCATTTGTTATCAGCCTGCAAGTTTAGACAGTTACATTCGTGTGTGTATCTGTCTGCACACACACATACACAGGTGTTTTTGACATCAAAGAGCTCTTTGTTCTTGAGTACGGGTTAGTTAAATATTATGCTTGTCTGTATGTCTCTCTCTTTCTTTCTCTCTGTGTTCAGGAACCAGGTCCTGCGAAGGTGACAGTCACCAGTACCAGCAGCAGCAGCAGTATGGTGTGTCTCCCCAGCACTATAGCTCAAGCAAAGCGAGTGCCATCCACCAGAGCCACCCTGTGGCAGGAGGAAACATGGAGTCGAGCCACTTTACCCACAAGCTGCAGCACCGGCAGCCTGAGTCAGCTGGGTACCAACACTCAGAATTCATTAGAAACTAACAAAAACAAGGTTATGACATGCTGTGTGAACCTGGCTGCCAAACATTCAGCCGACAACATTTTGAAATCCACAAAATACATTTTAAATTTAATTGTGAAAATTAGAACAGAAACATTCTATACACTCAAGTATGCATGTTCAAACAGCCACTCGCCACACCTTAGCGACTTCATAGCAACCACCCACAACACTGTAGCATACAGTGCAACAGTCAAGTTCCAAAAGTAAAAATCCCATTCATTTTCTCTGTAGGAGAATTGATTTGTAATTTTATAAACCTTTAAAGACAGACCCACTGTGAGCTAAAAGTTTGTTGTTTGTTGAAGACATCAGTCTGCATTATTTGAACTCGTTTTTAAATAATCATGTTAAACAGCAAAATTCCTAGTGTAAAAATGTATTACCCATGATTCTGCCACCAATCAGAGAATTAAAACAAGGAAAATGCACCGAAAAAAAAAAAAACTCTTAAGCACCAGTCCACTCCCTGCAAATGGCATAATCAGTCTACTTAAATATTTGTATATATGTGCATATTTTGCAATAAATGTAAAATATGTTTTCTAAATACACAATCAACATGTTTTACATTTATCTATCGATTGTCATTCACAGTGCCTCATGGGATTGTAGTTCTTTCCCTGATTAAAGTTCACATTCTTGTGCCATTTTATCCAGTACTTTTTTTTTGGCTTCAAATCAGAGTTTGTACTGTTGTGATTTATGGCTAGTTGGTTCTGTTCATGACTTATAAACTCTTAAACAGAGTTTTTAAAAATCCCAATGGGAGAAATGCTTCTTGAACCAACTGTTGTGGTGGTAAGTTTTGGTCATATTTTCTTCATAAAATCTTGTTAAATATCTACTCTGACTGCGGCGTCACATGCCATGTTCAATACATGTTCAATACATGTTTGATTGATTGATGTGATTATAAAAGTGATTTACATCACCAGGAAACTGGCTTTTTTGATCTTGTCCAAATGTCCACTTGATCACTTGACCTCAGATTTCTGGGTAAACACATTAAACGAAAATAACATTTAATTACATTTGCTCACTGCCCTCACAAAAACCACAGTAACCAACATTTCCGACAAAATACTACAGTGATTGTTACCTCAATAAAACTGCGGTAACCTGCTGTTTGTCACCAGTCTTGTTATTAAACTAAATGACAGATTTTGAAAACGTCTTACACTGTTTTGAAAGAGATCCCAGATTCATTTAGTATGCTTTTGCAGTAGTAACTAGGTATTTTGGCAGCTGTAATGTTACCATGGTGTATTTTTATAAAGGTACCGACTGTGATTTTTCATTCTTTCTCATGCTCAGATTCAGGAAACGCAAGTGTTGGCCGTAAGCCACGGGTGGAGAGTGGATATTTTTCGCTGGAAAAATCCAAACCTGAAGAAGACGAAGAACGACAGCATCATCGCCAGCAGGAGCAAGAGCCTTCGCCACCACCACAGCAGCATCTGCTTTCTTCCTCCTCTTCCTCTCGCTCCAGGTATCTCTCCTTTGATCACGAGCTCTTCAGCTCTCCAATCAGCTCACACAAACACACGTCACATGACCCACACAGCGCTGCTAGCACACAGACTTACGGCATTGCACATAACGCCTGCGCTCACAAACACAACGCACAGAGACTCAGCAAATCAGAGGAGCACGTTCTAGCGCTGGATTCCCCGCCCTCGTCGGATGCAACTCTCTGTCCCCTTCCCAGCCCAGACCGGCTCTCCAGTCCAAACTCGCACGCAAACGTCCTCCCATCGTCCCTGTCTTCCTCTCAGAGCTCTTTAGACTCTGAGCAGAGTCCGGAGAGCCGTGTGGGCAGGGCGGGGCGAGGTGGGCAGGGTTACGCCGCCCTGGCAGATGTGCCCCGGGCACGGAGACTCAGTCACCGGGATGCGTACCGATCCAGTCAGAAACGGCAGGAGCTGCGAGCGCGCACGAGGAGCCCGGGCAGGGAGGAAGTGGAACGGCTGTTTGGACGTGAACGAAGGTGATGACCTGGTTACATTCACATGCAAAGGCTCTGTTTCAAACCCTATCTTCTTAGACAGCATCTTTATATGTAACTGATTTGAAAAACTCTACATGGGTGGCAGCTCTTGTAATTGGCACGCTTATGGCTGGGACACACCAAGCCGACTTCAAAGAACTAGATACATTAAGAACTAGATTCTAACTAGAACTAGATAACTAGATACAAAGAACTGCAAACTAAAACGTGCGTTCTGCGCCTGCGTGAGAGGAATTGGCTGTCTATATTAGCAGCTATCAATAGTAAATATTCATCATTCAAAAAGGAGAACCCGAAACAAGGATATACGAGATATACACAGATAGACCGAACGTGAACAAAGCACAGCTTGCTCAACATTTTGAATATCAGTTATGTTGATAACTTTCTTCATTTTAAGCACACCTCATGTTGTTATGAAAATATTCACATATTGGAATGATCACGTAAGAACATTAGAACAGCCTTCTGTCTGTTCTGTTTACTTGCTAGTTTTCATCACTTTTGCTTTAATTCTCGGGCACTGACTCCTTCACTAAACTGAACATCCAATCAGAGTTCTCACTCGCCCCGACGCTGATTCAACATGTTGAATCGGGCAAACTACCGCCGACGTGAGCCCGACGAGAGCCAACGAGTGGGACACACCAAACAAACTAGCCTTACAGACGCTCACCGACGGCTGACCATTGGCTTGGTGTGTCCCGGCCTTTAAACAGCGCTTAAAAGATGTTCAGTTGATTCCAGTAGCCTGGTATTCTAAGCCTCCTGTATTATTTGAGAGACAAATTTCTAAGGCTTCTAAATGATCAACATGATATACTGCACCAAATTGCATATGTTTGTTCAGTTTGGGCTTCTGAATAAAATCCAGGTGTTTTTCGCTCCATTTTCTTCTGTATCATACTATATGAGCCAAAAAAGCTTGATATATCAAATATATAAACACATATGCATACTTGTTTTTTTGTTTTTTTTTAAAGGTTCAATTAACTGTTCCATTAAAAAAAAATATATATTTTAGGCTTTACAGGGTTAATAATAGACTTTAATATCATTAACTAATAACATTAATAATATTATCATCAATAATATTTTTAAATAGTAATATAAATATTTCATACTAATATCAATGGTATTTTTAAATATTAAAATGAATATTAACAAGTAATATTATAACAAAATTACCACTAATAGCATAGTCTACTCAAATACTTAGTTAAATCATTCATTTTTAAATTACATGTATTTTTTAATCCATTCTGAATAAAATATATTTTGCTCTGTGTATTCCAATAGAAGAAATGAGGAAGAAATTAATTGTGTTATTAACATGTAGTTAAGTTAATTACTTGATGCTCTAATTGGCACAAAAATACGCAGCACACCCAAATATGTGGTGAAGTTGTGTTTAGAGTCTATCTGCACTTTTCAGTGGCGTTAAAGTGTATAATCATCATATAATTTAATTTATGCGAAAGGATACTGTATCTATTATTGGTACTGTGCTTATGATGCCTAAAAATGCTGTCTAGGTAGATAAGTCATTAGAGTTTGTACCAGAGCCAATGACACACACATTCTACTTAAATATACATGCATTTAAATTGCCGAAATGAAGTGTTTGTTAAGAGACGTTCATGTTTTATAGCCTCATTAGCCTAGTTCATAGTCTGATTGTAATTGAGGAGAGACAGTTCAGAACAGGGAACTAAAGATAAACACAATCTGCTCGTTCAATCCGAGCCAACACACCTGCCGTGTTTACGTCTCAGAGCGAGCCTGAAGGTTATATCTCCACCTGCTGGAGCCGGCAGGAAAAACCTGTCAGTGACACTCAGGACGAGCAAGTTCAGAAACTGAGACGCAGGGAGGATGCGCTGCTAACTGTCTAAGCTAATGCTGTGCCTTTAGCACCCAGAATCATGACATTCATCTCATTCTTGCAGCTTTAGCGCCACCTAGTGAACACTGTGTAGAATTGAACTTCCAGCCTAATCTCTCTTCCATTTTGTTGGAATCTCAATGCAGTCCTGAATGCTGTGCCGTTCAGTTCTGTATCTGTGATTAAAATGTTCTGCACTGTTTTCCTCTCATTTCTGATTTTTCTCTCTCTCTCTCATGCTCTTTTTTGCTTTTTATTTGATCTGTTTCTTCTCTTTTTTCAGGGATTCTTCTGAAACTCTGCACTTCCTGCCCTGTGCCGTGCCCTGACACGCCCACTGACACGCCCACTGCTTACTTTCATTCCACCTGCTGGGGCCAAACTATAACACACGCACATCTCAGAATCAGAGACATAAAAACTAAGGCCTTTTTCACACCGCAAGCAGCACATATTTATTTTGGCCACCTAAGCAGCACAGTGATGCATAGATGATTAAGCAGTTTATAGCCTGACCTTGGGGTTTAAGTTCCACTTTGCTGAGATTTGTACCATTTAAATGTAAATGTGATTATGTAAATTAGATTTTGGATACTTTTATAATAATAATTCTCAGGCCCCTCCAAATAAACATTTTATAATTATAATAATAATTATAGAAAAATAATAATATTTATAAATATATATATTTTAAATGTATAAAAAATAGGTTTTTATATAAGTACAGTTCCGTTAATACAATTTTGAAACTTTACAGTTTTTTTAAAGAAGTCTCTTATGCTCACCAAGGCTGCATTTATATGATTAAAAAATACAGTAAAAACAGTAATATTATGAATATTATTACAATTTAAAAAAAATGTATTCTATTTAAATATATTTTAAAATGTAATTTAATTTAAGTAATTTATTTCAGAATTTTCAGCGAATAAATATGCAACACACAAATTAACATAAATAATAACATTAATTTATTGCTATAAATTACAAGATTTTTTAAAATTACAGTATTGTATTTATGTTAATGTATTATATCAAATAGCATTGTATTTTAATGGTTATGATACATAGCAGAGGTTTATTAAAAAAAAATATATAAACAATAAAATGGAACTTTTATGTTGGTAAATATGAAGGGGTGAGAGAAAATGATCTTCATTTATCTATTTTAAATAAAGAAATGATGTATTTTAATTAATTATTTTAGTGTTGTGCATCAGAAATGCTGTGAAAACAATGCTTGTATGCTGCTGCTTCATTTCGGTGTGAAACAGGTGTAAAAGATGAATTATTCCTACTAACACATGGGTGTACACAGGGACAAAGACTGATTGCTGTCTGGGGTTCTGCTCATGCTGTTGTCGCTGGTTTCCTGTGTCTGTCCCTCTGCTCTACCATCTGCTCTTATATTAAACAAAAACCACAAATCAGTGACATGCTAACATCTCAGATACTCGCTGTTGAGAAAAGCCTTACAGGTTCAAACACTAAAATCCTTAGCTAGCTCCACTTCACAAAGGACATGGCGCAGCAATACGTGCCAAGAGTTGCTGCATTATAAAAAAGAAGTGATTTTTCACTACTAATTGCTATAATTACATAATGTAATTTATTAAAACTGAGCCATTCTCAGGCAATCAAGAGAGCTTTAACATCATAATAGAGGGAAAACAGTGAGAAACAATTTCCAGCCACATTTCCTGTTTGATTTATGACAGTGTTGAGGTTATTCACAATGTTCAGTTTCAGCTGACTGACCAGAAATTAACAGAGGAAGTGTTTTTTCCCCATCTTTCCATGAAATATTCTCCAGCATCCTTCCTCAGTAGATGTAAACATCCTGCAGTGTTAGACAGAAATGTTGATTGCATTTATTACTTTATTTATTATTGAAAATGAACATTTATTTGTTTTGGTAGATTTTTAAATTTATGTTGATTAAAAATATATTAAAATGGAAAAAATAACCTTATGCATTACGAGCCTAATGAATTATCCATTGCATTTAACTCTGTTCAGTTTATGATTTAAGGCATTATTTTGAAGTCAGAAATAGAGTATGAAGATCTGTGATGAAAGGAAAGCATGTGTTTATGCTATATTTTCCCATTGTTTCTCTTCTGACCTCTCTGTGTGTTTTTTACAGCAGACGTTCACAGGTCATCGAGAGATTTGAGTGTCATGACACTGTCAGCACTCCAGAGCAAATGGACACAACCAATTCTTCAACAGACCCCGCCCCTTCTTATTCTAAAACAGCCAATCAGAGAGCAGGACGCAATGAGAGACGCCTCTCCAATCAGAAACAGGTACTCATTTAACATTTTTTTCTGATTTAACTCTGCATCTGTTGAAATTGATGTATAAATTGCAGTATAGCACTTTGAGTGTGCAGGAATGAATAGACTAAACATTTGCTAAAGTTTCAGTGAATTGCTTAGTATTGTTAAAGCAGTAAGCCAGTTCTAAGAGCTTCTAATCTCATCCAATCAGATTTCAGAGTCACTGTCTGTTTTGTAATGAAATTTCGAGGAGGCCTAATAGCAGTAAAATTTATTTGAATTCATTAATTTCTAATTTCTTTCTTAATCTTTTATAGGAATTTTCATTGGATTCAGCTAAAGGCCGGACAGATGACGTTTCTTCACTAGCTGGTTATCGCAGGGCCAAAAGTCTGGATCGCAGAGCCACAGAGACACTCATGACTGTAAGACTACACATATAACACACATAATTATCTTTTAATTTTGGCTATAATTGACAAGAATTTTTAATTGCAATATTGTATATACGATAATGTATTATATCAAATAGCGCTGGTTATGATGCATGACAGAGGTATCAAGATTTAGGATTTTAGATTCTTTTATTTTATTAAATTATAAACAACAAAATTGAACTTTTATGTAGGTGAATATTAAGGGATAATTGAATAAAAAATATAGTAAATAAATCAAATAAAAATGATTTATTTCTTAATTTTGATTTATTATTTTAAATAAAGAAATTATTCATTTTAAAGGGGTCATATGATGCTGCTAAAAAGAACATTATTTTGTGTATTTGGTGTAATGAAATGTGTTTATGCGGTTTAAAGTAAAAAAAAAAAACATTATTTTCCACAT